CGGCCCCAATGGGGCCCTCGGTCAAGCCCCCTTGTGGAGCCAGGAAGCGCTGTACTGAGTGGTGGATGACACATGCGGGCGGTCCCACTGGAGCCTTCGGTGGAGCTCTCTATGGGGCCACGGAGTGCTGTGCTGGGTGGTGGATGACGCATGCAGGCGGTCCCACTGGAGCCTTCGGTGGAGCCCCCTTATGGGGCCACGAAGCGATGTACTGGGTGGTGGATGACGCACGCGGGCGGTCCCACCGGTGCCTTCGGTGGAGCTCCCTATGGGGCCACGATATGCTGCGCTGGGTGGTGGATGACGCATGCGGGCAGTCCCACTGGGGCCTTCGGTGGAGCCCCTCTATGGGGCCACGAAGCGCTGTACTGGGTGGTGGGTGACGCACGCGGGCGGTCCCAGTTAGGCTTCTGGTGGAGCTCCCTATGGGGCCACGAAACGCTGTACTGGGTGGTGGATGACGCATGCGAGCGGTCCCACTTGGGCTTTTGGTGGAGCCCCCTATGGAGCCACGAAACGCTGTACTGGGTGGTGGATGACGCACGCGGGCCGTCCCAGTGGGGCCTTCGGTGAAGCCCTCTAAGGGGCCACGAAGCGCTGTACTGGGTGGTGGGTGACGCATGCGGGCGGTCCCATTGGACCCTTCGGCGGAGCCCCCTACGGGGCCACGAAACGCTGTACTGGTTGGTGGATGACGAATGCAGGCGGTCCCACTGGGGCCTTCGGTGGAGCCCCGAATGGGGCCACGAAACGCTGTACTGAGTGGTGGATGACGCATGCGGGCGGTCCCACTGGAACCTTCGGTGGAGCTCTCTATGGGGCCACGAAATGATGACGATGATAATGGTGATGGGAGGGGGGAGGAGGGGGAGGAGGAGGAGGAAGGAAGGGAAGAGGAAAACGCGGGGCGCTGTCTCTTCAAAACGAGGACCCAACAACACAAATTGGTTAGGAAAAACTGACATGTCTTAAGACCGCATCTTTTACTTCCGCCGGCATCCGTCGACCTTCCGCAGGCTTCCGCCGGCAGAGCCGCCCCACCGTTCTACTTCCGCCGCCCTCCGGCCACGCGGCCGCCTTCCGCCGAGAAAAAGAGGACAACCCCCTCGAATCTCGAAGGTCGGATGGGGGAAACGGATCCTGAGGGAAGGTCCTGGACACTGGGGCCTTCCCCCAGGACGAGCTCTCCATCCTGACTCGTTTTCTGACTGTACCAGGGCCCGTGTTCCGACAGCTGGAAAACGGCGAAAAAAACCCAGGACCCTTTCCCCACCTGGCGAGGAGTCAAAACCCTTTCTGGAACGCCTGACTTGGTCGTATCTTTTCGAGGATCTACTGATCCGGGTCAATCCAGACCTGGGCCAATCAGGTTCGCAGGACCCTACAAGATCCTGCAGGATCCTGCGGGATCGTGCACCCAAATTTGGGTCAGTGCACCCCTGGCTCTGCAGGATCCTGCGAGATCCAACGCTCTGACTGACCTCCGTTTCAATTTCGGGGGCGTCCAGGAGGGGGGGGCGCAAATCATGGCCGGCGGCGTGTGCGCGGCCCTGGGTGGGGGGCGCAGGAGACGTACTGCGCCATGAAATTTGAGGAGATAGCATGGCCCCCGCCATGATATCGACCCCCCTGAGTCACTACCTCCCTCTTGGCCGCCCCCGAACACTTACCCCCATCTCGCCGCATCGCCGATGCATCGGCGATGCATCGGCCATGCGTCGTCGACGACGGCGATGCGCCGATGCATTTCCGAGGCGGTGCGCTCCTCCGACCCCATCCACTCCGACCCCATCGGCGAGGCCCAGACTGACCCACCCCTGTTCAAAAGCAGAGACCTCCACGGGCGGACGGGGGCGTCCACGAGCGGCCCACTGTCGGGCTCAGGGCGTCCCAGGAGGCGGGCGCCCGGGGGGGGGCTCGCAACGAGGGGGGCCAAGGGCACACAGAGAACTACACACAATTCTACAGGCGAACGGAGAAAATTCTAGAGGCGAGCGAAGATATATTTCCCTCCCGAACCAAAAATTTGTGGGATCCGACGAGGAACGCGAGTGGACGCGAGCGAGGCGAACTAGGAAATTTCTTGGGGGAACAAAGAACTACGCGGCCAAGGAAAAAACAGGAAGCCTGCTGAGCGAGAAAAGCTGACGACACCCTCGCAACCCATCCAGCCCGTCAACCAACTAAGTAAACCCGCCGAGCAAACCCACCGAGCAAACCCAAAGTAAAGCCTTCAAGTCGGAGGAAGGTGGAGTGCTGGAAGGACAGGGTGGAGGGCGAGGGGGAGGAGGAGAAGGAGGAGGAGGAGAAGGTGGAGAAGCAGCAGCAGCAAAGTACGAGGAGCAGGTGAAGGCAGGAAGGGGGAACTGGAGCAGGAGGAGGAAGAGAGGATGGAAAATCAGTTTCGTACACTGAATGGCAGAAGCGTGCGAAACACACTTTTGCGTCGGCGGCTGGGCAGATGTTACTGCTCCGGCGAACAGGCATCAGTGGGGCGCGCTAGATGCAAATTGGGCCGAAGTGCGCGCGAGGAGGCGAGGAGACCCCGGCACGACGGGAAGAGAGGAAGCCGGGCCCGCTCAGGCAAGTCACTGGCTGCGGCGGAGGGAGCGCCGAGGGGGGGGGGGCAGCCGCGGCGCCAGGCAGCAGCTATGGGGGGAAGGCAGCCCTGCGGCGGCCGGGCAAAGCCAGGTGGGGGAGCAGAAACACACATGGGCAGGTATGGAATGACCAGACCAGCCAATAATATCAGCCTTGTCGGAATACCGTGGGGGCTGACGTTGGACAAGCAGCAAACGGCCACAAGGAGAAAAGCGTGTCACGTGCTGACGCAGTCACCACACCAATGTGGGAGCCGGCGGAGCAGGCGAACCCACCGGTTAGGCAAAGCGCCGAGATCTGGTGACCTACGGGGCGCGGCGGGAGGCGAATAGGGCAGAGCGCAGGCTGCCACAATTGCGCTGCACTGAACGCGGCAAGAGAAGGCCGGCGTAACGGCGACGGACAAAGGACGAAGAGGCAGAGCCACGCCATCATGGGGGAGCAGCGCGGAGCTGGGAGGGCCAGCAGTCGGGCGGGCGGGCGCCGAGATCTGGTGACCTCCGAGGCGCGGGGAGGGGGGAGAAACGCGTGCGAAACACACCGTGGGTCGATCTCCGGATGATTTGCTCGCGGGCCCCGAGGAGAACCCAGAGCAAGTGAAGGAGTCGCTGCCCCAAAAAACCCGCCCTGGTTTTGAAAACTTCATGCCTTGCGAGACCTTCCAGGCGAGGCCAAGTTTTCACATTTAGGGTGCCAACCGTTTGAGATGGTAACGCGGCGATGCGTCGTTGAGATCGACCCAGGGCCACCCCCCTCCCATATTCCGTTCATGCGTATGCCTGATGACGCCTAGCAAGAGAAAGGTAAAAGAAGATGCCGCTCCAGAAAAACTACACAATGCTGGATTGCACAAACGGCTGAGCGCCTTGTACTGACCAAGACCCTCACCGGGAAGAAATGTCCCCACTCGGCGAGGAAAATGTCCTCGTTCGAGGTCCTCGGTTTTCTCAATTCGACCTGAACAACAAATCCGTTCGACCCAGGAACATGTTCCCGTTCGCCCATCGATTTCTTGGTTCCCCTGTGGATTTCCTGGATGGTCTTTTTACCCCCCAATGGCTCCACATCTTCTGGAGCTTCGTCTTCCTCTCCACTTCCCGTATTTTCCAACATGTTCGTGGGAATCGTCAGTTATGTGTGATTGTTGTCCCTCCTGACGCATCTCGTAGCCTGAGGCAGCTGCGCGAACGAATTGGCTCGACCAGGGGACGCAGTGAAAGTACAAGAGGGGGCCATGAAATCCTCCTCCTCCTCCTCCTCCTCCTCCTCCTCTTCCTCCTCCTCCCTCCTCCTCCTCCTGCCCCATGTCCCGAGCCTGTGGCAGGGTCATCCGCTCGTCGTTGTCGTTGTCGTCGTGCTCGTCGTCCCTCTGGGTCGGCAGCACTGGCCGCAAGGCCTTCACTATAAGGGGGCCATGAAAGCTCAGAGACACCGTGCATGGGAGGGAGAAGCTGGAGGGAAGGGAGGGACCATGGGAGGGAGGAAGAGGGGGGCAATGGCGCACCACTGGCCCCAGATCCTCCCGACCCTTCCCCCGGCTGTGGGAAGAAGCTCTCCGGCGACACCGTCGGAGGGCCAAAGCGACCAAAGCAGTGCTGCACAACTCCCGAGGCCTCCGGGGGCCCCTTGAGGGCGAACTCCCGAGGCGCCGAGCGCGAAGCCCGCGCGCCGAGCGCGAATCCCACGCCACCCACGCGGACAGGACACCGCCGGAGCGGAGCCGCAGCCCATCAGGCCCGGGCGCCATCCCAGCCCTCAGAAAGTCGACGCACGACGCGAAAGCCGCACAAGAAGATGGGTCGAGAGCCCGAGCCACCCACCTCGAACCCCAGACACCCGAAGTCACTCGAAGTGGGAGGGGACGCGGGACGCCTGAGGTCGGGGGAAGAGCGGGAGCGGAGACCCAGGACTGCGACGTGACGATTGTGTCACAGCCTGGACCCACAGAAATCAGAAATCTGGACACCCTCCCCAGGACTGGCGTCTCTCATCCCGAGTCGTTCCTGACGGTCCCCGAGGGGGGGGGGGGCCGGACGCCGCAGACAGTTCCACAGCCGTTCGTCGTAATTTTTTGTCGCGACGAGGGGAAGCATGTTCTTTTCTCACGACGTCGTGTTTTGGTTCGAAACGTCGTGATTTTTTCTCGACGAGACGTCCAAAAATCGATCCCCTGACCAGTCCTGGGGCGCCTTCTGGCCAGGATCACGGCGCGAGTGCAGCCGTGGCGACCGGGAGGCCCAGAAGCTGCCAGGCCAAACAGGAACCTCTGGATCCTCGAACCTCGATCCTAGCGAGCCTCGAACCTCTAGATCATCGAACCTATAGATCCTCGAACCTCGATCCTAGCGATCCTCTAGGTCCTCGAACCTCTAGATCCTCGAACCTGGAGACCCTCGAGCCTCTAGATGGTCTGTCCACCATGGTATTTTCGGGGGTGGAAGCAGCGAGACGCAGCAGTCGATGGAGGTGGGCGGCACCAGCACGAAGTTCATGGCGCGAAGGCGGCGCTGCTTGCGGTCCTGCTCGCGGACCTGCCGAGTCACGGTCGGGGGGCGGGGGGAGGGAAAGGAGCGCAGGGGGGAGGGCGAGGAAGACGAGGCGGACGAGGAGGGAGAAGTAGGGAAGAGAAGGCAAATTGAGGGGGGAGGGGGGAGGAGAGGGAGGAGGGAGGAGGAGGAGGAGGAGGAGGAGGAGGAGGAGAGGGAGGGAGGAGGGACATCGAGGAGGCAGGGCAAAGCAATGCACAGACGGTCAGAGGTCCTGAGACGATCCTACCATCCTACGAGCCCACGACCTCGAGTGTACTTCTACGTGGTAAGGCCCGACGTTCGGTGAGGTCAGACGTTCGGCGAGGTCCTACGCCACGCAAGGTCCGACGTCCGGCGAGGAGAGGGAGGGAGGGTAAGGTGAGAGGTCAGAGGAGGGAGGAGGGAGAGAGGAGGAGGGGTGAATGGGGGGAGGAGGGAGGGAGAGAAACGAGGGGGAGGAGGAGGAAAGGTGAAGAGGTGGCAGGGAGAAGCAGGAAGGAGGAGGGAGGACGAAGCACGGCACGGAGGGTGGAAGAGTGGGGAGGCCCAAAGAAGGAAGGGGAACTACGGGGACAGAGAACAAGGAGAGCTGGAAGAGATGGAGGAGGAGCATCAGCAGCAGGATGACACAGGCGACGAGCACCTGGGAGGAGGACAGGACAGGCAGGTCTAGGAGGGGAAGGGATTGAGAGGGAGGGCTACAAGCGGGGTTTGCTGCAGGCAGCCCGTATGTTCGCCGGCCAATTCCCCAAGACCTGAAAAACTCACAAGGCGCCTTCCCCGCATGCCCTTCCGCAAACGTCCAATCAGCAGATCTGCGGATTGTAGTACTTTGTCAGAACACCCAGAAGAGCTGGTTCATAATCGCCCCTCGACGATAACAACAACGACGACGACGACGACGACGACGACGACGACGACGACGACGACGACGACGACGACGACGGCGGCGGCGGCGGCGGCGGCGGCGGCGGCGGCGGCGGCGAGGACGGTGAGAACGACGGGTCGCGTCGCCGTCCGATGACGGGGACGCCAGCGAGGACGGCGACGTGGACGCGTCGTCAGACGGCGAAAAGCTACATTCTTTGCCGCCACAGCGCTCCGCCTGGACCAGATCCGTGTCGGCAGACAGTGTATGCCCAAGCAGGCGGGCACACGCCCACTCGGGGACTGACGCGCCGTCGCCCGACGACGACGAGGACGAGGACGGGAAAGGCACGCTATACCTCCCAGACCTTTCCCAAGTGTGCGGTCTAACGGGCAAAACCAACACGGCCGTGGCGACGAGGGCCTCCCTAAATACCCACATCAGCAATATCCTGGGCAATGGCAGGATCAGCCAGCATGGAATCGGCAAATCGGATCGGATCGGAGTGTGCGTCGGATCGGGTTGTATCGGCACGGAATCGGAATCGAATCTGCTCGGCTGCGCAAGGATGCACAACAACGCCATGCAAGCATCGGGCCGCATCGGATCGTCGGAATAGCGGGGTCGAACCGGATCGGGCTAGCCAGAATCGTCATCGAATCGAATCGATCAGTATAAAAGGAACCACGGGCAAGTGAGCATGGTTTGACCGATCCCAATCCCCACTGGCGTGGCCTGGGCCGCACTGGCTGGTTTACGCCCCCTAGATGGGGATACAGGCTGTTCTTTCCGGTGATCGAACGGGTCTATGCACAACTGGGGTGGTGGGATGGTGGGGCTGAGATAGCATGGCCCACTGGGGATGGGAATAGGTTAAGCGATACTGAGCAAGGGTAGCGGCATCGGTACGTTCTCCCCTTCTACGGCGGCAAGCAACTCATGGGAGCCTCCCGTACCAGACAGCTGGCACTTGCGAATCGGCCCTACTCTATGCTACTCGATGCTAATCGACGCTAATCGACGCTAATTCGACGCTAACTCGATGCAAATCGACGTTAACGCGATGCTAATCGACGCTGAATCGGCGCTACCCCATCGACTACCAAACGCTAATCGACGCTAACGCGCTTTAAGACGAAATTGCAAGGGTAAACAAGGCTCCCATGGTTTGCTACCGAACTGAGATGCGGCTGGTCCACGTCGCGATGAAGCAGGCGTTGGTGTCTGACGCCGCGCGGTTCGCTCGACCTTGAACGATCACGGCTCTCCAATACCGCAGCGCAGACCGCTCGCCATCGGCCGATTCTTGGCCACTGGCGGCGTTCAACCTTGAACGCCCGCGCTGGGGTCACCGCTGCGTCAACGCGGCGCAAACCTACCGCACCTGCCCTCCCTCTGCTTGCCGTCGCTCGGACGTCCATTCCCCGTGCATTGTCGGTTCAGGATGGCCCTCGATGGTCCCCGCCGGCAAACATGCACACGTCCGAGCGATGCCAAGTCTGCCGGAGGGCGGGGCGGCGGGGCGGCGGGGCGGCCTGCTCCGCGCGCTGCCACAGCTCCGCCCGGGCCACGCCCAGGCCCTGCGTGGCGGCCCCCCACGGCGGAGCGCGCAGGTGGCGCCCGTTTCGGGTGCGCGCGCAGGCTTCGGTGGCAACTCGTGGGAGCCTCCCGCACCATCTTGTTGGCCCTTGCGATGCGATGCGACGGCCCATGGAGACAAAAAGGGGAATCCCGCCTGCTTCGGCATTGCGCCGGGCCGCAACGACATGAGACAGCATAATGTTACAAGGGGGCGGAATGGGTGGGACAACAGATGAATGAGCAGATGTGGGCATGAACGATCATCAAAATGTGACCTACAAACAGGAGGCCTCAGATATCACCACAGCACATGTTCTGCCCGCCTTGCGAACGCTGGGGCACGACGCGATGCCAGGGGATCCAGTCGAGAAGCCCCTCGTTCCAGCGGCTGCCATCGCAAAAAAACGCTCTTGGCTGCAAACTCCCCCGTGCACTCCTGGAAAAGAGCGGTCCCTTCTTCGACGTGGCAACTTCCAGCCAAGCCCAGGCTTGCGTGAGTGGCGCAATCGACGACGCGAATCGACGCTAAATCGGAGCTATCTCATCGAGTACCAGACGCCAATCGACGCCGATGCACTCTGAAAACGGCACGCCACGCCCAGGCTCTGCCGGGGCCCCCCCACGGCCGAGCGCGCGGCCCCCGGACCTCCAACGCACTGGAGAGTTCAACCCGGAGGTTGTCCGCTGCGGTCGGCCTCCGGGGCCCCTCGCCAGGCCCAGGGCCGTCAGAACAGGACTCGGGCCGAGAAAGCGGGCCGGGGGAGAGGGTCGGGACTTCCGGGGTGCACGCGGTTCACGCTTCGGCGTCGCGCCGAGGGGGGGGCAACTGAGAGGGGGCAGGCCTTCTTGGAGGACGAAGAGACAAGACACATACTCGCAAGTAGGGGGGGCCGGCCCGCGCCTCGCAAATTCGAGGCTGCACGATCGGGGAGGGTGCGGGATTTGCGGCGGCGCCCGCTTCCCGTGCGGGCGGCGCCCGCTTGCAGTGCGCGCGCGGGGTGGGGAAGTTTACGCGTTCGACCATGGACTCCTTGTTGCCCATCGCTCCTGGGCCATCTTCAGAGCTCTTCGGCGGTCTTCGGATGGTTTGCGGCGGCTTGCTGACAGTACTCGGCGGTTCCAGGCGGCAACTGGCTGCTTCCAGCGGTCTTCGGCGCGAAAGCTGGACGGTTGCTTTCAACAAGCGGATTAGAAACGAACGACGCCACCCAACCTATGGCCCCAGGGGGGCTTAGCGTGTACCAAGAAATCCGCCGACCCCTTGGGGTCACGGCGTGTGAGATGCTTCCCCCCCGCCCAAAACCCCTCCCCCGGGAGCCCGGTCCGGCCGGTTGGGAGGAGGGGGGGGGGGGCAAAGGTGTCGGCCGCACCCTTGGAGCCTCAGGGGGTCCCAAAACGGGCCATGAGGGCCCCAACAGGCCCCCCGGACGGTCCAAGAGGGCTACGAGTCGCCGAAAGATCGCTCCAAGACTCCCAAGATTGCCTCCAGACGGTCCCAGAGACCCCCAAGACGCCCCAAGAAGCCACCAAGAGGCGTCCCAAGAGGCCCTCCAGATGCAAAAACCGTCACATGTCCCTAGGGAAAACGTTTAATTTCAGCACATTCGCCTCTTGGGCTTTCACGAGGCCCACAACGGCCCAAGAAGCCTTTAAGATCGACCCAAGATAGCCCAAGAGGCCCCCAAGAGGGCTCCAAGACGGCCCAAGAGGGCCCCAAGACGGTCCCAGAAGCTCCCAAAACGACCCAGGAGGGCCCCAGGACGGCCCCAAGAGAAGGCCCAGAGGTGGAACCCGAAAGAACATTTCGAGCACTCGGCCCCGAAAAAACCGGAGGAGGCGCCAATAGGCCCCTAAGAGGCTCCCAAGAGGCCCTCGAGAGCCCCAAAAGAGGCTCCTAGAGGCCTCAAAACGGCTCCCAAGAGGCTTCAAAAGTGCTGCCAAGAGAGCCCAGAGAAGCCCAAAAGCAGAGCCGCGATTGCGCCGCTTCCCGGAGGCTAGCGTAGTGCAGCCTGGATGCGACCTCCAGTGACGGGTTGTCCACCAGGAGAAATCGGTGCCGCTCTTCAGGGGATTGCTTGCCGGGGTCCAGGCTTTCCAGCGTCCTGCGCAGGTCCTCGCTGCCGGCACTGGTGGCGTCGGCCAAATTCTCCTGTTTGCCGTCGTCCCAGGGTCTGATCTCCCGCCATGGTAGACCTTTGACGAGCGGCCTCTGGGTCAGGGGGTCGTTGAGCCCCGTCCGCATGGCGCTGTTGTAGAAGACCCAATTGGGCCAGGCCAGGATCAGAGGGCGCACGCGGTAGCACGCGTTGAGCTGCATAACAGCCGACTCGTGGCCCCGTAAAGCGAGGTGGAGTCGGTCGAAGATGGATAGGCACAGCCCCTGGTCCGCGGCTTTCCTGGAGATGACAGTGCGAGGGAGCTGCTCGGGGTCACCGACCAGCACCAGGTGCCCCCCAGAGCGGATCACGCTGTCCAGAGCCGTCGTTGCCATTAGCTCGCGCGCCTGTCCCGCTCCATCGACGGTGAGCAGGGCGACGGGCGCTGCCTTCTTCAGCGCCTCGGCGGACTCGCGGGTGGCAATGATGGACTCGGCCTCCTTGAGTAGGTTGGCGCGGAATCCAGGGAAGCCCCTAGACGGCGCGCCACCTTCGTGAGGGAATCTGGCTGTGGCCTTCTGGGTGCCCCCCTGGAGTGAGCTCTGCCAGCTCCCTCGCCGCCTTGTGGTCTTTGGCAAGGCGCGCGCACAGGGCGGGGGGCCCGGCGCTGGGGGCCAGCTCGTTAGCCCTGTGGGCGGCGAGGAGCGCCAGCGCAGGTTGGTCCGCGGCTGTGTTTGATCCCGCGGCAAGGGCAACCGCCAACCCGTGGTTTGGTGCGCCTGCCCAGGTGCCCATGGTTGCGACTGAGAAGATCGCATTGCCCGCCCCTGGGGCGCCGTGCACGATCGTGACGCGGTGGTTGGTGGAGGCCAGGAGTGCCTTAGTAGCATTGCTATTGAGACCGCGACGCGCTGCGCCATCCTCCAGGGTCTCCCTGGACGGGAGGTCGCGACTACGCTGAAGCACCTGGCCAGTGGCGCCGCCCACCTCGAGGTCGATGAAAGGGAGCGCCGCTTGGATTTCGGCGGGCTGTGCCGGCGTTGCCGATGCCATTCCGGGCGCGGGTAGGTCGGCGCATGGCAGGTGCGTTTCCAGGGTGGCGATGACGCGCGCCATGAGGTCTTGTCCGCACCGCGCGGTGCGCACGGCGTCGCTAGCGGTGGCCTTGTCTTTCCTGTCGGCTGTCCGAAAGGTGAGCAAGTAGGTGATGGGGCCCAGGGGGGTGCCAAACAGATCGGTGGGATGCTGCTGTAGCTTGTAGATCTCGGTCACAGCCGCCGAGATCCTCCAGCATTGGATTTCTGAAGGCGCCCTGTCCAACCTGTGCCACGGTTCGCCTTCGTAGCTTGGCTGGGGGATGTGGCTGTCCTCGTGGAAGGGCCCGTGTTTGGCAGTGCGGTACTCGACGATGCACTCATTGTCTGGGTACTTGGAGCCGAGCGGGAGCCCCAGCACTTCGCAGTCGGCAGGGGGAACTGCGGCGCCAAGGTCAGATGGCCACCATAGCTTGACGTAGGCAACCTTGTCCACTGCGAGGCTGGTGATGCTGAGCAGTAGGACCTGTGCGTCCTGTCCTGCGTCTTGGCCCTTGAGGAGAATCTTGTAGACTGAGCTCCACTGCAGGGGCAGAAGCTGCTTCCCGGTTCCTGGGGTGAGCGAATCCCGCATCTGGAAGCGGTCCTGGGTGACACAGTCCGAGCCCTGGTCAACGCGGGAGACGGATACTCACAGGGCGCAGCTCTGTCGCCTGAGCAGGTCCGTCCTCGCCTTGGGAGAGCCGTCCCAGACTGTCTCGGTCGCGGCCACGCATTCGATCCAGGCGAGCCTTTTCGAGCGCGCGTCCGCGCTGCCGTAGCTCCTGCGGCCACTGGGGTGGGAGCGGCACGGCGCGTGGGATGGTCCCCACGGGCTCGGTCGGGTGGATCTGGGCACTGCCGCAACTGGAGGGGACGGCGAAAAGCTGCTTGACCGCCGCCGCCGCCGCCATCGCCGATGACTCAAAGACGATCCTCGGTGCGCCTGCTGGGGTCGCTGCCACACCACTTGGGAACGGCCGCTCATCAGGCGCATCTGTCTGCCGCCTCCCTGAGGACTCCCGCGACGACGCTCTGCTCGCAGCATTTGGCTTGTCGTCGCCGGCGCCGTGGATCCTCCACGGTGGGGGGTTGGCGGCGGTGGCGCGGAGGGTGGCGTCCCGCCTTTCCAGAAGCCCTCCAGCGGCACTCGTGCTGCTGGCACTGCCCAAGGCCCAGGTCCCTCGCCTCAGCTGCTGGGATGGTCGTATCTCCAGGGATCGGATGGTGCCTGGGGGGCTGACGTTGTTGAACAGGTCGTCCCTGTACGGAAGTTCACAGGCACGTGGTCCCAATCCTCTGGGAAGAACCAGCCGGGGAGGGAGGCCTGCCCGGGCGCCTTTACTGGCTCTGGCAGCCTCCACCCTGGCCATGAGTGCCTCTTGACCACGCAATCGTGGGTAGAGTCATACTGACTCCACGGGTCATGGTCCAGAGATTGCCAGCTACGGTGAAGCACCTGGGGTCTGGCCATCCGCTCTCCCAGTGCCTGTGGCCCTCCCAGAAGTGATCTCCCCGCAAACGGTGCACTTTCCCTTCGCAGTGCTTCTGGCACAGCTCGCACCGCCAGCACCATTCCCCGTTGAAATGTGCCCACCGCAGCCACGGGCACTCTCGCGCACGGAAGGGGCGTAGACCGTCAGTGGCCGGGGGGCCGTCCGGGCAGCATGCCTCGCAGGCTGGCCAGCGGGCCAGCGGCCCTTGGTTGCACTTATTCTTGCCCATCCTCCAGGGTTGCAGCTAACGGCTGCTCAGGGTTGATCGGGCAGGAGCCAGGGTGCAGCTGACGGCTGCCGTGTACACCTTAGGGGGCCGCGAGGTCGATCGATCAGCTGCCGGGGGGGAGGGGGGGAGGAGGAGGCGGGGAGGAAGGGTTTTCCAGGTGAAATGCAGCCAGGGCGCAACACGACGGGTCACAGAGATCTACGTCCAGCCCTTCCACGGTCGGGAAGTGCGCTGGGAGGGCGTTGTGGGAGCCGGCCCACCTGATGTGCGTGCGTACTGCTGTTTCGCCGTCGTTGTGCAGCGCGTCAGCCCAGAACACCCCCAGGGTGGCTAAACTGTCCGCTGCCTTGTTCAGGCGGCGCCTGACAGCCTGCCAGGAAAGCACCCAGCCGATGTCCTCAGCCTGGCCGAGTGCACTCTCCAGCGAAGCGAAGCGTGAAGAATTCCACTCCACCCACCACAACAAATATCCGCCACAGTGCCTTCAGCACGTAGTGAAGTGCTCCAAGGCTCGTGCGGCCCTGAGCAATAAAGAATTGCAAATGTGTGAGGGCCTGGACCACCGATATCGCAAGGATTCCTGGGAATCCAGGGGGGATTGCCAAGGATTTCCTGGGGATTCCCGGGGATTCTCCAGTCGGCCGAACAAGCGCCCAAGACGTCCCAAGAGGCCTTCAAGAGCCGGACCAAGAGATGTTCCCTTAGATGTTTCAATGTGTTTGGGGCTCGCGACTTCTCGAGCTTCCAACGCTCCATTACATCCCAAGAGGCCCCCAAGACCGTCCCGACTGGACGAGAAAGGGGATGGGTAGGAGGGAAGAAGAAGGGAGGGAAGGACTGGAGGAGGGAGGGCGGAGGTGAGGACTGGAGGAGGAAAGGCGGGAGGGCGGTAGAGCGGGAGGGCGGGAGGAGAAGCAAGCGGTAGAACGGGACTGCGCACGGGGAACATCAGCAGCAACGCCGCGGGGCAAGGCGGTCCTGAAGATGCTCCTGGTGTTTGTGGATGTAGAGGTCCCTGCGTGCGGGCGCACTGCGGACGTGGCCGTGCGCAAGCCAGTCAGCCCCACTTTTATCGTCCTCTTCAGCCCCATCCTCGTCGCCATCCTCCTGCTCCTCCCCAACCACCATCACCAATGTCGTCATCATCACCACTGTCGTCATCATCACCACCACCGTCATCATCATCATCATCATCATCATCATCATCATCATCATCATCATCATCAGCATCATCATCATCATCATCATCATCATCATCATCAGCATCATCATCATCATCATCATCATCATCATCATCATCATCATCATCAACATCATCATCATCATCATCATCATCATCATCATCATCATCATCAGCATCAGCATCATCATCATCATCATCATCATCATCATCATCATCATCATAATCACCATCATCATCATCATCATCACCACCACCATCACCATCACCACTATCGTCATCATCGTCATCATCAGCACCATCATCATCATCATCATCGTCATCATTACCATCACCGTGGCCAACACAACCACCACAATCTATTCTCATCATAGAATATGATACGAATCGTCATCGTCATCATCATCACCACCACCAGCACCACTATCACCAATCAGCATCATCACCATCATCGTCACCATGACCATCACCATCAGCATCATCATCATCATCATCATCATCATCATCATCATCATCATCATCACCAGCATCATCATCAGCGGCATCAGCATCCGCATCAGCAACAGCATGAGCATTATCATCATCATCATCATCATCATCATCATCATCATCATCATCATCATCATCATCATCATTATCATCATCCGCAGCAGCAGTTGCAGCAGCATCATTACCGCCGTCCTGATCAGAATCGCACTCACCATGATCATCAACATCATGAGGGCGCGCCGCTGTTCCCCCCCAGGGGGGGGGGGCGGTCCGGACCCCACACACTCCCCTCCCCGTTCCCTGGTCTGTCGTCCCGGGGCACCCACCCTTCCCTCCTTCCCGATCCGTCGTCGTAGACCCCCTCCCCCCTCCCCCCATTTCAAAAAGGGAGGCCCCCCTCCCCTCCCCCTTGAACTCGACAATCGGATCTCCCCCCTCCCCCACTTTGGCTACGCTGCCACCCTGGGTCGGGAACCCTGACACCCAACCCTACCGCCCTGACCATGACACCATAACACCCTAACCCTAGCACCCTAACCCCAACACCGTAACCCTAACACACAAACCCTAACACCGTAACCCTATCATCCTACCGCGCTGACCCGAACCCTACCACCCTAACCTTAACACCCAAGCCCTCACACCGTAACTTGAACCCTACCGCCCAAACCCTAACACCATAACCCGAACAACCTACGCCCACCAAAACCTTACATCCAACTGCCCTAATCCGAACCTCACCACCCTAAGCGTAACACCCTAAGCGTAACGCCGGTGCCCTAACACCCTAACGCGAACCCTAACACCCTAACCCTAGCACCCTCACCCTAACACATTGGGACTAACACCCTAACCCTGGCACACTACGCCGAACAACCCAACCTTACACGCTGACTCAACAACACCGAAACCCTGACACCCTGAGCCTAGCACCCCAAGCCGAACACCCTAACCCTAACACCCTGACCATAACGTTACCGCCCTAACCCTAACACCATTACCCTAACACCATAACCCGAACAGCCTAACACGCATTCCCGAACCCTGTCACATAAACCCTAACGCCCTAACCCTAAGCCTACCACATTAACACTACCCGAAACCCCCACCCCCCCTTTCAAAGGGAGGAGGATGTCTGAACATGCTCCCCTTTAAAGGGGGACGTGTGGGCTGTACAAGCACAACCACCGTTTTCAACTGGAGGGGGATCCACTGGCGCTCTTTCAGTCATCTTCGTCGTCGTCATCATCACCACCACTACCATAACCATCATCGCAATCATCAATCAATCAATCAATGGACCAATCAATGCAACAAGATGATCACCGTCATCATCAGAATCCTTATCGTCATCGTCATGGTCATCGTCATCGCCGTCGCCGTCGTCGTCGCCATCGTCATCAACAGCAACAGCAACATGATCACCACCACCACCACCGTCATCACCGTCATCACCACCACCACCACCATCACCACCATCACCACCACAACCATCATCACCACAACCGTCATCATCAGCGTCAACAATAATAACTACCAACAACAACAACAACAACAATAGCATCATCAGCATCATCAGCATCATCAGCATCATCAACATCACCATCATCATCACCATCACCATCACCATCATCATCATCATCATCATCATCATCATCATCATCATCATCATCATCATCCGAATCCGCATCCCCATCATAATCCTCATCATCAGCAGCATCAGTATCAGCATCATCAGTATCACCATCAGCAGTATCAACACCATCATCGTCGTCATCGTCATCAGTATCATCAATAGCATCACCACCACCATCACTACGAGCATCACCACCATTACCACCACCACTACCAGCATCATCAGCATCACCACCATCATCATCAGCATCACCACCACCACCATCACCACCATTACCATCAGCATAAGTATCCTCAGCATCCTCAGCATCCTCAGCATCAGCATCATCACCATCAGCATCAGCATCAGCATCACCAGCATCCTCCGCATCCTGAGCATCATCATCAGCAACAGCAGCATCATCGTGCGCCGCGGTCGGGCGGCCCAGTGCGCAAAGGGGGCGGGCCCAGCGAGACACCACGAGGCCAGGCCCTGCCGAGAGGCGGTCGCGCGCGCGCGCTGGCGGGGCTGCGGCCACCGAGGGTGGTGGCGCTGGTGCAGCGCGAGCCACGTCCTGGAAGGTCGGGGCGGGGAGGTCAAGGGGAGCGGGGAGGGCAGGTCAGTCAGGATCAGCCAGATCCCTTGTCCCTGCCTCCGTAATCTTCTGCCTCCCTCGCCTTCCTTCTCGTCCTCCTCCTTCTCCTCAAGCCTCCTCCTCCGCCTCCTCCTCTTCCTCCTCCTCCTCCTCCTCCTCCTCATCCTCCTCCTGGTTCTCCTCCTCCGCTCCTGCCAGTCCGCAATACCACAGATGCGCTGGTGGTGACGCCCCCGCCGCGTAGGCGGAGGAAGGACGAGTGACTTGGATGGGGTCGGTTGACGCGGGTTGCCCCTTTGGGACTCCGGAGGGGGAAGAGCAGTATCAGTCAGCATCGAGCAAGGAAATCCGATCGGATCGGAAGGCGCGTCGGATCGGGCCGAATAATCAAGGAAGCATAATCAGATCGTATCGGCCGCGCTGGGATGCACAAAAGAGCCGTGCAAACGTCGGGCTGCATCGGATCATACATATATATATATATATGTATATGGATCGAATCGGATCGGGATTGCCAAAATCGATAATAAATCAGACCGTCAGGTAGTCACAAGCCGTGCACCCGAGAAGACGCATAGGCAAAAAAGAAGTTAAACTCACGCACGAGCGTTTGCTTTGACCCGAGGAGATGGAAGAGGGGAGGAGAGTTGGAAGAGACAAAGGGAAGGAACAAGGAGCACCGGAGGCTGGAAACGCAAGGGGGGGCTCGAGACGAAGCGGAGGAGAATTTCCTCTGCCTCCTCCTCCTCCAATCACGCCTCCGCCTCCGGCTCCGCCTCCTCCTCATCCTCCGCCGCCTCCTCCTCCGCCTCCGCCTCCGCCTCCTCCTCCTCCTCCTCCTTTTCCTCCTCCTCCTCCTCCTCCTCATCCTCCTCCTCCCGCAAGGGGAGGCAGGAGGGGCGGAGAGCAGAGGGGGGGGAGAAGGCCGTGCGAGGAGATGGCGAGCGGGAGATACAACGAAAGGCGCTGCCGACTACTGACCTGACCATCCCAACCCAACCCGCAAACCCAAAATTCGGGTCGGAGGGTTACGGGTTCCACATGTGTTGTTCATTAATCTCCGACGCCCTCCCCGCTGGGAATGGAGGGCAAATTGTGGCTTTCAGGATGGGTTGGGGTGGTTTGGTGGGTGGTGCAGAGTTTGACCGACCCCTATCCCCATGGGCGTGGCCTGGGCGCCGCTGGCCGATTATCCCCTCTAGATGGGGATATGGGAGGTCCCCTTCTGCCTTTGAAGGGCATACTCCCAGCTGGGGTGGTAAAGTGCTGGGGGTGTGAATGGGGATGGCGATAGGGAGTAAGGGTCGGTTAAACGATACCGAATCATCGCCATTGGTGTCGCCTCCATCACAAACGTCGCCGTGTTCGTCGCCGCAAAACAAAAAAAACACAGTCGTCATCATAGGTTTTGTGTCGTCGTCATCATTGGCGTCGTCGTCGCCGTCGCCTCTGATGAAGCCCCACAATTTCAACAATTTCGACTCCTCGCGGCCATCGCCGGACACTGCTGTTGCGGCCGCGACTGCCCCAACACCTCCGCACGAGCTAGGATCGCCGCTCGCTGCAACGGGGCCCTCCTGAGCACCGCTCTCTGCGAGAAGGACGCGCAGAAGTCGGAGTAAAGCAAGGCCACCTGCCACAGGGGAGCCCTCTCCTTTTGGCTTGACGACGGGACGGTTCTCCAATCGACTTGCGGGGATGGAGCCAGGTAAGTCGAGGTACGTCCACACAAATCAAAGAACATCCAACTACATCAATACAAATCCTAGAAAGGGTCCTAGTAAATCCTAAGAACTCGAAAAGTTAAGCGCGAGTCGAGGGACAGCTGAAGTCGTCAAACCCCTTAGAGGAACAGAACCCTGCAAAAGTTTGGAGGGGGCTGGGGGGCCCAGCCAGCAGCTTCGCCTTAGGCGAAGCCAAGCTACACTCTGTTGTACCGTAGTAACGATAGTCCCAGTTGGAGAGGAGGCGCCATCTTAAGCAATAGACGATCCTTTTGGTCTCGATAGCGATTGTGTGCCTCGCAGTGAGGCACAATCATATTTGGGCGGCCGGCCGCTTGAGCCGGCGCGGCCGCGGGCGCACGCTCGCTTCCACTCCTTACGTCCCTCAGCTCGCTTTAGAGTCGGGGGGGGGAGGGAGACGAAGCGTGAGCCCGTCGCCCCAACACAGCAGGCGCAGCAGCTAATATTCACAAGAACAAAAAAAGAGGAGGGCCAGAAGGAAATGAGCCCGCTCGAAGGAAATACTCCTCAGGCGGCGTCAGATCTGGCCGGCCCGATATTGAGTATGTCTCTTCAGGTCATGCTTGAAGGACCGTATACCTCCCATGACTTGTAGGAGCATTTCTCTGTCGATGCTCCCCTTGGTGTGACCATCCGGGGGGCATATCGCTGGTGTCGCACCACTGGATGCTGTGTACGATTCCACGTTCCATCATCTGTCGTATCCAACTGATGTGTCCCAAGAGGGTACACTCAGTTAGCAAATTCAGGTCTTTGCTTGAATGGACTTAAAAACAGACTCAGCATCTACGGTCATAAGTAACCTTGATGCTCAGGCCACCCAACCAAAGTATGGATTTCAACTGGGTGGGCGTAAGCGGCCCTGCGTGGAGCTCGTGCAGAGTCAATCGTGGGATAACAGTCCTCCAATTATGGGCTACTGCTAGTGTCTCTGCTGAATAGCTTGAGCGGACCTGCAAGCGGTGTGACTTGCAGTGCGCGTTGGTGAAGTGAACGACAGGCTTACCGGATAACGTGTTTCCAAGTCGTAGCAAGTTTGCCCCGCGAATACCATGGCCTTTGGCGTCGTCGTCGGCGTCTCCACTCAGGCGTCGGTATCCCGAGTCGCTACGCAGGTCGACCTCGCCCGTAGGAGTCATCGCCTGGTAGACGATCTTCTCTGGGCAGGCCTGTTGTTTTCTGGTGATCGCGCTCAGTCGTCGCATTGGGAGGTTGGTCGGTTATTGGACACGCTGTAGAGATACAACAGACGCCATCAGACACACCTGGGTGATTGATGCATGCGCCAGCGCGCCCCTGAGGCTGACGAGCATGTCTGCAACCATCTTGGATGCCTGAGCGTCAGCGTGGGCGCCGGAAAGTTCAGGAAGTTGTATAGGACGGAGCTGTTTGATGTATTCAGCTTGGTCCAAAGTGGCATCGCCGTCCTCATCACTGGAGTATATCACAGCACAGTTGGTGCAAGTGTGCTTGTTGATTTTACACTTGCCAACGGTATATTCTACGCACTTGACACACTTGCCAATGGTGTCCTCAGTGCCGACCATATTGATATCAACAACATGTTTGGCCGTGGGCAATTGTTGCTCGTCTCGAACTCCTCGGCGAAGGACGCGGGTCGGAGACCAAAACCTCTGGAAGTCAAACTGAGCTTTAGTGAGAAAGCCCGCGGTGCGTCTCTAGTACCCGCGCCTGGTTGCAAGCACTGCAGGCAGTGCTTTGATCCAGGCGGCAGAGTAAAACACACCACACGTTTTTTTTTCCACCAGTAGCTTCAGCAAGTTCCTGATAGGTCAGTCCCTTCAGGAAGGCCATGGTGATGTCGATGGAAGCGATGACCCATTGCTTCTTGCGCGCTGCCCCGCTGGCGAATAGCCTCTGGCTCGACCGTCGCGCCGTTCCCGGAAAGGCTTCTACGTCGAAGGCTCCAAGGTCCATGGATACTCGGAGTACCAGGCGTAGTCTGATGGTACGTTCCATCTCGCCCTTCTCGTTCTTCACGAACTTCCATGCGCGCACGTATCTCGAAGTCACGATGTTCGACGCTGTAGCTATATCTTGCGTATAAAACAATTGTTGTCGAACCATGTCTTGAATCTGTGTAGAGGGCTTTCGATGCTTTGTCGGGATTCGCCTGGATGTCAGCTGCGGCGAGGTCGTCTTCCTTGACGACCACAGCTCGCTTTGCAATGGCGGTTGCGTATACTCGAATTGTGGTCACCCGGCCGGCATCCAGCATCATGCGTTGTTGTTTGGACAGGACTACTTTTGTGGAACGCCTGGTGGTACCTCGACAATAAGCTCAGCTGTCTTTCGTAGTAGCGGGAGACTGGATTATGAGGACCGTTCGTCATGGTGGCTAAGATGCCCCTCGCGGCCTCATACGTATCAAACTCATACGTCTCCCATTCCTCAGCCCCTGCGGCAGTCATGGCGTCGTCCACTACGGCCAGGCGCGCCGCTGCGACCATGCGACCCTGCGCCGCTGGCGCCCTCACGCAGGCCCTGTGCATGAACTCGATGTGCACCGCATTGTGCCACGCAGGCTGAGCTTCTTGCAGTCGCTGCTCGGCATCGAGCGTGCGCTGCCTTGCGTGCATCAGTACACCTGTCGCACGACGAATCTCCGCGCGACCGATAGGCGAGCGCATCCCGCGCAAGGCGCGCGCGCACGACCCAGGCGGCAAGCCGTCGTGCGACCAGCAAGGCGTTCGCCCATCTCATCTGGCATGGCAGGCCTCACGGTCGCGCGCGCTCCCCCACCACTGCGTCCAGTGCCCATCATCGACAAACCCGTGCCCCAGCGATGCGGCTTCCCGCTCCGATTCCGCGGCCTCGATTACGCTTGCCACGTAGGAGCCCCCCCAGCCCCGTGCATCGTCGAACTCTGGAGCCGCCACTGCGGCTCCGTCCTCGGTGACGGGACTACGCGTAACCTTGCCCTCGGCGACGGGACTAAGCGGAACTCGGCGCCCGCCACTCCGGACATTTTGGAATGTAGCTGTGGCGGCGACCAACCACCTCGCGAGCAGCTCGCCCAACTCGGCCCCGTCCACAGGGAAGATGTCGTAGAAATCTCCTGGACGGCCCGCGACGCGCGCGGCCGCCAGGAAACGAGCCAGGCGCTTGCGGTCGATGTGTTCAATGCAGTTGATCGAGGCCTTGCGGCAGCATGTATCGCACATGGTGCCCATTCCGCATTCCAGCGTCGCGTCGGGAATGTGGAATGTGACAGCATGCCCGCGGTCGCAGTAGATGCACATGTTGTCGTCGGGCAGGCTGCCCATGTGTCTTTGCCAGCAGGCAGCTTCGGCTGCGGTCCGCCACTGCAGACCCCCTAGGAGGCGGCCGCCTGGCCGCTGAGCGCGGGCGCGCGGGGGCGCGGTGGCGCCGCTGAATTGGCAGCGGCTGCGTGCACATATTTTCACACATGTACTGACGTACTCATTATATGTGTAAGTATGTGTGTACACGATGGCAATAATTATGACAGATATGCTCATGTGTATGTGACCTCGTATATATATATATATATATATATGAGCACACATAGCAATGTACTAGTCGTTAAAGCATGTGCATATAATCGTATACTGTGTAAGTACCGAAACACGTGATCACACACCACCATTAATTAGTCTACCAGGTACCTTTCGGGCAGTGGCGATGACGATGACGACGGCGACGGCGACGGTGACAGCGACAACGGCGACGACAAGAGATGCTTCTTTTCCCAGCCGAGTCGCGCCTCTCTAAGCGCTCTGGCGCGAGCCCGCCCCTTGGCGCCAGCCGCCACTGCGGCTCTTCTTCTTCTGATGCGCCCTCCTCCAGCTGCGCCGCTGCTCGCTCGCAGTCGGCCTCGATCCACGCCCCTGGCGGCCGTGACCCATGAAGATCATGTCCTGGTGAATGCCGCGGAGCCAGTGCGAGACGAAGGTGTCGCCCCTGAGCCGCTTGGAGACAACCTTCCCCAGGTTCGGAAGCGGGCGCAAGCCGAAGTGCGTGCTCTGGAAAACAATCTGCCTTGTCTCCGTCAACCTTGCGATGCGGCGTGCCTCGACTGGATCCTCTGGATGCGCACCCTCTTCGAGCTGTTCGAGACACTCGGTGTAAGCAGAGCGCCACTGCGCACTCGCCATCGGCACGTCGCCCCACTGCGGCAGGGAGCTGCAACTGAAGCGCCGGAGCCAGCCGCTTCGGATCTCGATCGGGGCCCCCGAGGCGACAGGCTGGAGCCACTCTGGCACCAGCACCGCCACTTTCACGGTCACCTGGGGGCACGGAATGGAGGTCCCAGGGAAAAATAGGAGCAGGAAAAAACACAGAGCCCTGGGACATCGAACGTAGCTTGCGCGCCAAACGCAAGCCTGACTTTTGTACTGAAGAGCCCACAGATGAGACTCGGCCTGCCAAAAAGTTGCAAAAAGAGGACAGGTCACCCGAGCTCGGGTTGCCACAATTAACACCGCTAGGCAGACCCCCCCTCAGGCGAGGGGGGGGGAAGACGGGGTGCTGCGGGTCGCGCGTGCCGAGCACGAGTGCAAAGTTGTGGTGGATGGTATAGTCAAACACGCCAGGCCCCCAGTCTTTGCGGAAGACGGCGTGGAAGGGCTTGTCCCCCGCGGCGAGGCCGCAGCTGCAGCCTATGCGATGCAAGGTGGCTGGACTCGCGCAGGGCGACGTCGAAGATCGTCACGACGCGCGCGTCGTCTCTGGCGCGCGCGTTTTCCTGCCGCATAACTTTGCGCGTCTCGACGACGCGGGATTGGTTGAGCACGATTTCTGTCCTCTCTCTGAGGTCAACTATTTCCCAGTAATTGTCGTCAGCTCGTCTTCTCTTGTTCGCTACCACGCCCGCCACTGCGTCCTCGAATTGTCCTTTCAGCTGTGCGTGCCCACGCAACACTTCCCTCGCTTCCGCGTCGCGCGTCTGCGGGTGGTCGAGGAGCAGCGGGCCCCAGATGAGCACGAGGATGTTCGCTGGGCTACCGAGCAGTTTCTCGACATCTTCCACTGCGGCCGCGGCCGCCACTACGGCCGTGGGAAGGGTAAACGACGGATCCGCAGGGGCTCGCCGATGCGGACTCTGATCCGGCGCTCGCCTGTCAGCGCGCACGCTCGGCAGCGGAGCGCCGCGCTCCACGAAGTCGCCGAAATTGCCCCCGCCGTCCTCCACTTGGATCCAAGCTCTACTTCCCTGGTCCGTCAAACGCGCGTTGGCCACCTCCGCCGTCCACGGAAGACGCGCTCGCGTCGACGCGAGGGCGCTGTATGCCTCCCGTTTCGGCGCGGGTGGTGCGCAGCTGCTCGGCTTCGGCGTCGCGTGCGGTAGGGCTTCCTAGTTCGGGGGTTGGTCAGGCTGCCGCGGCCCTCTTTTTGCCTGCGGTTCCAAGCGCGCCTTTTTCTTTGGTGGCTCGTCCTGGAGACGCCGCGGCGGGCGTTGGCCAGGCTGCCGCGGCGGCAAGTGTGCCTTCGGAATCTGCGTCCGCTGGGAAGGCTCACATTTCGCCCTCCGCAACAGCTGCGCCTTTGGTTCCCTGAGCGCCGCCACTGCGGACTCGGGAGGCGCTGCCTGGCTAACAGAAGGAACTGCGCGGGAGAAGGCGCGCGACGCCCCAGAAGGTCTTCCTTCTGACCGAGGAGCCGATAAGTCGTCTGACTCGCTCAAATCCACAACCCCCGAAGGTCTTGATTTCGGCGGCGGCTTTGGCAAGGGCTCCATCAGCACTGTTGCCGCTCGCTTCGCTCCGGTCGCCTTCTTGGCAAACCCGATCGCAAGTGTCGCCGTCGCAGGCGCGCCTCCCGCCTTCAACCACGCGGTCGCAGGTGCGCCCCCCGCCTTCGTCGCGATCCCCAGTGCACCTGGCGCGTCTTCGCTGGGCGAGCCAGACGAGTCACTCGTAGTCGAACTTTCGTGGGACGCGGCCTTCGGGGGGGCGCGCAGAACTGCGCCTCCGAAAGCTGCCGCGTCTGCAGGCGCGCCTGGGCCTTCGCTGGAGGCCGCCGCTGCAGCCTCGTTGCCTGCGGCGCCCCAGGGCACCATCGCTGGCGCCTTTGGGCCCGCCCCTTGAGCCAAGGGGGGCCGCGCGGCCAGCTGTCGGAGCCGCGCGCGCGGTCGAGGTGGGGACAGGACAGGCAAGATGGCAGACGTCATCGTTGATTATCATCATTGTCATCACCGATGTCATCGGAATCGTTATCGCCACCGCCATCACCAACGTCATCGTGACCACCGTCGTCATCATCATTATCACCATCGTCGTCGTTATCATTATCGCCATCACCATCGTCATACATGAACGTCATCGTTCTCATCATCGTCATCGCTTCATCGCCATCACCATTACCAACGTCATCGCGGTCGTCGTTATCTGATGGTGGCGGAGATGATGACGGCGATGTCGACGCGAATGAATTCGTTGACACGACTTAAATCGTCGCAAAGCTTCCGGAAAGGCAGTGGCGGAAGCTGGTCTGCGATTCCTACAACTGGCGGCCGCCACTGCGGCCTGCGCTGCCACCTCATCACTGGTTGCGGCCCGACTGGTAGCCCAAGTCGCCTGGAGGCATCCCGTTGACGCGCTCTCTGTCGAACCTGCCAGTCCCCGCCCTGTCGAGGTGCTTGTAGCACTGGTACGCGCCAGCGCCATTACTGCCGCCGCAGTCATCCCTGGGCGGAGGCACGGTAGATGCGCGCGGGCCCGCCTCGCACAGGTCGAATTCCTTGGTTTTCCAGTTGGGGTGGAAGCGGACAACCGACAAGTCCTCGCGGTAGGCCACGAAGTCGCAGTTGTCCTGGCGTTCGCCGCGTTCGTCGCCCCTGCGGTGGCAGGAGGCGAAGCAGCGTTGGTGGCCGTAGCTATTGGGGCGGGCGGACACCACGCACCGAACGAGGCCGCCACTGCAGCCATCAGGCCGGGTGACTACCTGCGCCCTAGTTTCTGGACTCATCTGCGCGATCATCTCCAGCCAGCTCTACGAGACTTCCTCGCCGCCCCAGAAGTCGTACCGCACGTTGCGTTGTCTGTTTTTTGTTCTTAGGCGGCTCCCAGATTTTGCCGATATGCACGGTTGCCTCACAGACGACATCTCCTCCCGTGGTTTCGGCCACGCGGCGCAACCACTTCAGCGCAGCGTTGCGCTGGCGGCATGGGCCCGTGATCGGGCGACTTTCGAAAACACATAGGTCGAGCGCCCTTGCGGGCGCCGCCGCTGCGGCGCTCTCTTGCCCGACCCCAGCGACCGGGGCTCTGTCTCGCGAGCGCCCCCCGAGCATCTCTGCGGGCGGTGGGGGTTCCCAGAGACGCAACTGCATTGGGCGTTGCGGCGGGGCTGCGTCGCGCTTAGGGGCGGCGCCTGGGGGTGCCGGCGGCTGCGGCCCTGCCGTTGGCGGCGGCGCTGCCGCTGCTGGTTCGAGGGTCGATGTCCAACGGCTTGAGGAGCCGTCCGCGGACGACGGGCGGGCCGCCACTGCGGCCTGGACTGGACTGGCCCGGCGACGTCGAAGTCCGCGTTCGCCCCTCAGCTGCACGAGCGGGCAGCGGTTCACTGCCCCACGAGCAAGCTCCCCCTCGCGCTCGGCCTCCTGCCGCGCAATGCACCAGTCTCGCGTCTCCCACCACCCGTTGTCCCAGCCCTTCCAGCTGTCCCAGCCGCTCCACGGGCCACCCCACCACTTCCCTCCTCCTGGCCGCCACTGCGGCGCTCTTGCGCCCAGTCGTCCGAGTCCTCCTCGGCCGCCACTGCGGCCTCCTGGCCGCCACTGCGGCCTGCGCGCGCCCTGGGCGCGTCGTCGTCCTGCGCCGCCATCTCGCGGCCCTCGGCCACGGAGGCGAGGTTTGGGCCGAGTGGCCGCGGGCGCCTAGCGGACAGGGACCGCTGGCGCCGATTGCGGTCCGCGCGGGCCTTGGCGAGCGCCGCGCGGGGGTCCGCCGCGGCGCTCATGGCCTGAGCTTGCTTGGTGGGGAAAAGCAAGAGGCAAGAGGAAGAGAAGGAAAACATAAGACGGGAAGAGATGGGAAAACGGAACGAGAAGGCGAGAACCGAAATAAGAAGAGAGTAAGAGAGATAGAGAGAGAGAGAGAGAAAAAGAGAGAGAGAGAACAAAAAAAAAAAAAAAGATAGAGGGAGAGAGAGAGAGAGAGAGAGACAGAAAGAGAGAGTGAGTGAAAGATAGAGAGAGAGGATAGAGAGAGGAGAAAAACACAGCTATAGAGAAATAAAGAGAGAGAGAGAGAGAGAGAGAGAAAAAAAAAAAAAAAAGGAGAGAGAGAGAGAGAGCGAGAGC